CACGAGGGTGCTCCAGTGTGGGGTTAGCCAAAAGGCAGCCCCTGTACTGAAGCACTCTTGTGCCCCAGCCAGCCCTGTCAGTGTCCACAGGTGTGCTGTTGCAGAGTTAAGGACACCACAGCAGGATAGTACTTACAGGTAGGGCAGAGTGTATTAGTTTATACCAGCCCTGCATGTATAGATGCTGAGACATTTACTGCAAAGCTAATTAAGCAACTCCACAGTAAACACTGCATATAGTAACGGTGCCCAGTGGCTTGTACCGGATCTGGATCAGTCAATCTATGGACACATAATAAGACAGGCAGAAGTAAAGCATCAAGCTGCAGCCAGTCACACTGTGGCAGCTGCACATTTGAAAGGGAGATGTGAGCAGGCTGTGCAGTGAAAGGTAGGCATCTGAAAGCATGACAGATGTAGCCCCAGTTCATTCAGAGTAAAGTTACCACTGTTTGGCAGGATTAGATCAGTTTTTGGGGTCATAACATGTGCTTGCTGCTTTCTTAAACCAGGACAGATTAATTTATTACGGACTATGCTGCTTGCATAGCCCATCTCTTTTCTGGCAGTAAATTCTGCAACGCCATTACAGCCTGGCCAGTCTGGTTGCTAGATTCTCTCTCCCTCTTTGCCATCGATCCCACCAAAACTTCCATTTCTAGACGTGGCTATCCTCAGAGGAAGTAAATGGCCATGTGCACGTGCTGTGTAATGCATTCAAGGGGTGGGGGAGGAGTGGTTTGAAAATATTTCTTTTTGGTCTCTTAAGTTAAGAAGCAGAGTCCCGAGGCATGGGATTAATTGATTAAATACAACAGGAAAAAATATGGTGCAAGAAACATTGTGAACCTATTAGACCTTTGAAGGAGAGTGAAAAAGGGAAGCAAAACTAATCCAGAAAGGCCAGCTAGTCTACTAGGACTTCTCGACTTGCACACGTAAAGCATAGGATTTTATGTAATCTAAATGCATTCCTCAAAAAGATATCAAACTTGTCTTAAGATCCTTGAGATGCTACAAGCCTACCATCCTAAAAACAAAAGCCACACCAGTGCTCAACATCTGAATGCCAGGAAGCCATGAGACAGCTTTCTCTAGCTTCATCCTTTCCCAGCCAGATTCTGCCCACATCATAAGTCAAGATATACTATAGTGCCACAACCTCCTCTTGGGGACGCTGGTAAACAGAACACCCAAAGCTTCAATTTCCAAGCTGAAGATCATCACCCATGTCTTATCATCACACTGTCCTTTCCCTGAAGTTACCAGGCTCTGTATTGAAATAATCAGATTTATGAAGTAGTCTGTTGAGAGAACTACTTCATAAATCCTCTCCTATGGAAGTTAGACAAGAGCTTGTAATCATCAGTCAAAAATTTATTCATAGCAAACTTATACCCATTTGATCTTGTACCAGTATAATCCTTTATTTTATGGAGTTCTTCCCTTTCTCTGATAATTATAAAGATCTCCTGTCAACAACCTCTGGTTTGTTCAGCTAACCAAGCCAAGCTCTTTTATTCTCCCTTCATGAGATAGGAACAAATGAAAGAGAAGGGCTATGAAGATAATTAAGGAAGCAAAGAACCCATTTGAATTCATTTTTTTAAACCCAAGCGATCACAATTTTCCTGCAGTTAATTACTGTTAATACATGCCAAGTTGGCCAAAACTTTTCAGTCTCACCGGCTTCCTGAAAAATGTTTTCCTTTCAGGATATCAGGCTTCTGGTCATACCTTTCAACACACCTTACCATTCTGAACTGGGGGTTTAAATCAGGATCTTTAATGCTGCCCAGCTTGACATTTTGTAGTTACTCCCCCAACTCCCCTTAGGTTATGTCTGAGAAATCTCTGAGAAGAGTCCAGGTATTGCATTC